TTTGACCAAATATAGCAGGCTAATTTTTAAGTTGATAGTCTTGTATGGCTCACGAATGATGTTATAAATATCCAAATGGCCCCTTGGCAGAAAAAAGGTTCCCCACCCCTGCTCTATAGGCTTTAAACTTAGAGCCAAAATCTGGAGATCAGGATTTCCGACCCCCTTCCCCAAATCCCCCCAAGAACAGGATAGGATGCACCCACAGAGGCCACAGTTGGAGTTGAGCCTTGAGCTTCTATGGGAATTTTCTCTTCTTCTGACTTCCTCTCTCCCCAGGGGTACTGGTGTTAATTGCACCCTAATAGAGTCCACTCCTTGGGTTGAAGCCTCTGCCCTCTAAGCTGGGAGCTGCTCCAGGCACTGAGTACCTTTCCTGCCTACGATGACCAACTCTTTTCCCCACAGCCCCTGAAGTGATAGGAAATGGAAATGTGACAAGGGACCCACAAAGTGAAGGGGCACTCGATGCTTTCACGCTTTTGTGGGCTGCATGGACACTACCTTAGAGTCAGGAAGGGGTGGGGTCCCAGATTCCTAGGTCTGCTCTGACTAAACACTCAAATGATCACATCTTGACGTACACACACGTGCACACGCACACAACCTAGCAGTGATGTCCACCCGATCCCAGGCTCTCACCTGGACACTAGAACACCAGGCTGCACTAGCTAAGCTCCCAGCTTCTCCTGGAAAGATTTAAATTTTAAATTTTTTAATTACATACCCCCTCCACCCAGTTTTCATCAAGAGGCATAAAAAAAAACAAACAAACAAAAAAAACATTTAAATACACTGATAGTAAGTCTCTCCCGTTAAAAAAATAAACCCTGGGGCCTAGGCCACCTTTCTCAACCCAAGAGCAAGCTCACTGTCCTCATTTCTTATTCTCCCACTGCCCTGGTTCTCAGCCTTGGCTACACATTTGACCCACCTTGGGAAGCTTTTCAGGTTCCCAGGACCCAGGTCTCACCTGGACCCATGCATTAAACCACAATCTCTAAGGGCAGGACTCAGACATCAGTATTTTCTAATTTCCAGGTGATTCCAAAGTACAGCCAAGTATGAGAACCTCCACACAAGTTAGAGACAAAGATACAGGCAGCTTCTGTGACTCTAAGTGAAATAATATACCACAAAACCAATTTTACCATAGACTGGCTGATATAAACCAGTCAAGTTCCTACGCATCTCATTAACATCATAACAAAACAACGTTCAGTGAAATGACGTTATTCAAGAACCTGCTGTACTGAGGATGTCCTGATGTGAAGGAAAAGAATCTAGAGTGAGAAAGAAATGGAAAGATGCACAGTGGGGAGGGAGCCACAGGGGGTGGCCCGAGGTGCTGGCTTCTTCCCCGACCCCTGGCAGAGCCGCCCGAAGAAACGGGTGGATGGGAGCAGCTCGTGCGCACGGGCCCAGCGAGTGAGGACCGCTGCTCCGCCACTGCCTGCGTCTTCCGAGGTCTCTGCACCTTCCCCGCAGCCTGCATTCAGCCCGTTGACTGTGGACTCGAAGGGGGCAGGGCAATGAGTGAAAGGAACAGGCTGCTCAGTGAGATGGAACGAAAGCCCTTTGTGCAGGGATGCTAGATGCGGTGGCTAATTTCTTAATTCTCATCGCAATTCGGTTCACGGGAGGCCCCTGGAATGTCTTTATCCATCACAGATGGTTTGGGAAGATGATAAATTAATATCATTTAAATGAAGGCATGGCTGAAATGGTTAAATGGCAACATTTTCTTTGCTCGCTCCAAAGAGAAAGTGCCCCCCCCAGTCCATAAAGAAGACAAATGGTAAACAAAACGCCTATCTTTTGACAGATTCCAGGACGAGTATCATTCACAAACCATTCTGCAGAGAAAAGAGAGAAATTCATCTCATCTGACTTTGTATAGGACAACAGCCCGCGCCATAATGAGGCCTTCCCAGTGCTGTGAAATTGCGCTGAATGGCCGGAGAGTGCAGCCGCCTGTTCCCTGGGCATGTTTATTACAGCCCTTTGTATGCACCAGCCCCGCCAGCCAGGCTTGCTTCTAAACCACAGGACAGGAGAAAGAACCCAACAAATTTGTTGCTACGAAACTTCCCAAATGGGGGACTGCATAATCACGTTTGGAATCTAATGCCCTTGCTCCAAACCGTTCTTGTCTGGGTCCACCCCTGCTCTAAACTGAACAAGGCCAGGAGTCAGCCAATCGCCAGGAGTGTATGGGTGGCCTCAGCCCCCTGCCGGGCTCCTCCCAGGCCCTGGGAAGTCAGGGGGTAAAGAGGGCCCCGATTCCATTCCTAACCTTCCTCAAGTCAACTGCCAACCTGAGTCAAGAGCCACTGCAGTTGTCCCAGTTCCCCTGTGAAAAGCATCTGAAACAGACCAAAGGAGTAGGAGTGCAGCCTTCACCTGAGGGCTGTGGGCTCCCGGAGGTCAACCCCAGGAGGCCAGGGCCTGGGGGCAGCTCCTCAGCTACAAGATTTTGGAAGTCTCTGAGAGCAAACCACTAGAGGTCAAAATACTGGGCCAAATGCTTCCAGCAAAGGACTCACTTCCTTAAACCATCCAGCCCTGGGAAGACGGGACAGTGGACTCCGTGGAGGTGAAGAGACTCCCATTAGCAGATCCCAAGGGTACACATCCCCCAGCCAGCATCTGCAGCTGGTTCCTGACAAGACTGCAGGGTCTCTCTTTGGTGAGAAGTGTCCTGCGAGGGAACTGAGGATTCAAAGTTCCCACATCCCCTGAGGGGGTGACATCAGGAAAAGAGGGGCAGAGGGGGAAACCCGGAACGTCCAAGAGATGCCTCTCCTCGCCAATGAAACGGCAGGAGGTTTCGGGCCACATTCACCTTCCTTACTACTCAGAGAGCGGTTCTTTCAGGCAGCGTCTCTTTTCACCAATTATGAAGCCCTTCAAGGAATGCTTTTCCCTCACCAATCAGGTGGCAGGATCCTGGAAGCACTGTCTTTCCTCACCAGTGAGGACACACAGAGTCCCACCCTTTCCTGTCACAGTTCCCCAGCAGGATACGCAGGTACCCTTCTGAGCAGTATCCATCTATACATTTCTCTTCTGTGGGTTCTTCTCTCAGTGTTCCCCCCAAGCCTACAGGCAGCTGCTGTCCAGGGCCGAGAGAGAAGGCACAGCCACTAAGGCTGACCACAGCATTTGAAGCAGTAAGACGGGACCGCACCCACGCCTGCCTTCATCTGTTCCTCCTGGAATCCAGCTGGGTGTCTACACACCATTTACCAGGTGGTAGAGCACCAGCTGACATCTCACTCAGAGTGGTAAGAGGTCACACGTGGCCTTATCCCTCCCACTGCAACAGAGGAGGAGAGGGAGGGGAGGCAAGTGGCAAGACAGCCAAGACCCTGCTCCTTCCTGTCTCTCCAGGGGACATACCTTTCCTGCTCTGACAGCAAACACTGACAGGCAGAGCTGGACCTTCTCACCCACTGGCAGATTTCTCCATTTATCCAGCTGAGTGGCCACTTTTGATTAAAAAGTTTCTTGGCCAAATCTCCAAGAACTCTATGTGCAAGCAGTTGTTTACAGACCTTGGCTTCAATTTCTTCTGTACGTGAAATACAATGAACACTCAGGCATAGGTGAAGGAGTTGGATTACCTTCCAATTATGTTCTCTGAAAACCCAAAGCCCCCTCTCTCTGGTCATGTCCCTGCTTGTGCCTTCCTGCCACTGTAGGCGTTTCTTAGGTCCCTCTGCCCAGGCCACCTTCTCAGTCCCTGCTCAAAGTTTGCTGGGGGATTCTCACCTGGATGAGTTGTTTTTTTGATGTGGAAGTAGCCTAACTACCTTTATGCTTAAATTTCTCTTGACAACCACCAGAGGCAGCCTTAAGTCCACACATCTGAAAGGAGAGCTTACTTGGAGCCACCTGTTCACTTGGAATGGAGCAGATTTCTCCTGGAAGATGCAGACTGGGAACCTGGTTTTTTGGAGAAAAGTGTCCCCTTCCAAGCCAGGCCAGCTTCATGGGCCCTGTGCTCACAAGGGCACGGGCTTGGTTGAAGCTCCACTGTTGCCATTTTGATACTCTTAGTAATTCCTGAACAAGAAGTCCTGTATTTTCATTTTGCACTTAGGCCGCAAGTCATGTAATTGGTCCTGCGTACAAGTGCCCAACATCTGGTGGATTTCCTGTTAAGATGATGCTACTCTGGCTTCATCCAAAGGCCAGAAGGATTTCTCTGCTGTAATTCATCATCCAGGCCTGAGTCTGCCATGGCCTGGGTCTCTCAAGTGTCGCCCAAGAGCCCTCAGAGACATCATCTTAGGCAGCCATGCCCTGGCTCCAGGCCCCAAATTCTGGACCCAAAGAGCCCCGATTCCTGCAATTCCCAAACGCTAATGTGGGGTGGGGGCCCCACATCATGAAGTTCCCTGGCATTTCATCAGCTCTTTTGAGTCACCCCACCATTGCTTCATCTGTGTCCATGGGAGAAAAGAAACAGCACAAAGTTAAAAACATTAGCGTTTGCTTCAGTGAACGAAAATAGAGTCTCTCTTTAATTTTTTTTTTTTTGTCCTGAGAAGTAAAACTATTTGCAGGTGGATTAAATGTTCCTTCTGAGACCCTGCCCCTGTGCAGTGTCTGTCTGTGCAGTGCTGGGGGTGGGGGCAGGAGGTGCCCAAAACATCCAAAGAAATCCGTCTGCCCAGTTTTGGTAAAAGAGAGTCCTTTGTGCGCTCGGTAAGCCCGGTGACCGTGACCCCGCCCTGTGGTATGCGGCACACCTGTGCGCAGGGACAGCAGCTGGGAGGGGGCGGGGCGCGGGGCCCGGAGCCCTGCACCCTCGCAGAGATCACACCTTCTCCTTTCCTCTCCGTGGAGCCCCTTCTGCATCGCCCCTTTGTTTCGCTGCACACCTCCGGGCACCTGCGAGGCCCCGCGTGCGCGCGTGGCTATGGAAAGGAGACAGAACGGGAGCGCGCCGAGCAGACGGGCGGCTGGCGCCCGGGCCCCGCCCCTGCACCTACCTTTGCAGGCCTTCCGGTGGGTGATGGGCTTGCCCATGTCGCGGTAGTAACCCTCCTTGCAGTAGTGGCAGTGGCGGCCGGCCGTGTTGTGGCGGCAGTTGAGGCAGACGCCCCCGCTCTTGCGCCCCGACAGCTTGTACAGCTCCATGTTGAAGCGGCAGCGCCGCGCGTGCAGGTTGCAGCTGCAGGCTGTGGAGGAGGCAGGAGAGCCGTCAGCG